TATTACCACCTCTGAAATGACTTTCCTTTTTGCTCCTTCCAACCCCCATTCACATAAAGAGCACTTTTCACAATCCATTCCTAATGATAAAACTGAAAGTCTTGTCTGACATTATTTCTGGTCAAACACAGAAACAGAACAGACATGGGCTGCCAAAGCTGTTTCTTGTTGAAACTCAATTATGATTTGATGATTTCTCTGAAGGAAACATTACTGTAAGATCCCTCGTCTGCAGAAAATGGATAGGACATATTCGTTGGATATAAATAAAAGTGGGCAGGTTTGGTCTCAGCTGCATAATTACATGGTGAGCACCAACCATCATGACTGGAACAATCCTGACCGCTTTTATTCTGGAACAGCTGATATTAGAGGATGAACAAAAAGACTAAACCTAAAAATAGTGGAGAGTGACTGAACGGTTTGGTATTTAAAGTGTTATAGTCCAATGTAACCCTTCAGCTTTCAAACATACCAATACAGTACCAACAACTGTCTGTGATTGACACTGGAAAAAAGATGAGAGCAGGGAATGTCAGTGTTACAGAACAATGTCGGCGCTTTACAGCTTAATTATATGATGACGTAAAGAATCCCATATAATCCCCTCAGCTGTGCTTGGCTTTGTCCAACTCCTAAATATCACATGGAAATTAACAGTGCTTTTCAAAAAACAAAACACGTTAACCGTTATTATGGCCCTGGCTTGCTGAAAATCAACCATTTAGACTTTGCAAATTTTTAAATCCATGGGTCAATATTATTTTTATGTTTGCCCTAAAGAGACTATACTATGATGTTAGTCCAAAACAGTTGTAGTTTAGCTTCATATGACTATTTTACATCCGTTTGCTGTTTTTTTTCCCCCTACTGAAATTTGTACAGTACCTACTACCCTACTTTGAAATTAATTTTTGGTATGTTTTAGAGAGTTCCCCGAACGTTCCCGAATGGTCCCATGAGGTTATTTTTTGGGAACCAAACAAGAACGTTATAGGAACATTCCATGTAGGGTATTTTTAGGTTCCATTTTAAGGGAACATTCCCTTAACCTTAAGGGAAAGTTCTAGGAACGTTCTGGGAACCAAAAACTAACGTTCCCAGAACATAAATTTGTTTGCTGGGTATGGTGTCTTTGTTTCTGCAGTAGTTTCAATTTTGATATTTTTAGGTCAAACCGTTTGTGTCTATCAGTCATATAATGGAGGTCTATGGTCACCACCTCAAAGAGCATGCACAGAGAAGTCCAAATTAAATTATTATGATTTAATGACTTGTAAATGTAAGTACACATTGATGGCCTAAGAAAATGAACAGTATTTATATCGTTTTACCTCTTGTAACCTTTGTTTCAAAATCTTTGTGGCTGTGGTTACACGATGTAAAAAAACATATGACTGATAGACACAAACGGTTTAACCTAAAAATATCAAAATTGAAACTACTGTGGAAACAAAGACACCTACAATCGTGGATGCCCTTGAGGTGAGCTAAACATACCAAAATTATTTTCAAAGTGAACTATCACTTTAAGAAGTGAATATTTAGTTTCTGTATCTGCTCTCTCAGCCTGACCAACTGAAAAAGGCGGCAAACTGTCCAACAATAGGTTTAATCAGACTAAAAAGTGTACATTTATGAGCCAACCCATTTGATATCTTACTATTTTGCCAAATCACTTTAGTTTGAGACTGGAACATCGATTTTAGTAATAAATGCCATGTGCACCAGACCATTTATGCATGATGTTAAAAACAATTGCTTTAATAGCCATTTCATAAACTAAGCATTTGACATAGGCTACAGAGAAGTGCACCCTGGATAACGCATTTTTAAGAACAAAAAGCAGGTTTATCTTCATATCTGAAAGCATTTCACGATATCTGATTCGCCATAATGGATTCCTGACAGATTCCAGTAACAGCAGGTAAGCAGATTCTCATTAACAGAGACCTCCTCTGAAAATTAGCATCTTATTAAATTGATTTGATCCACGGAGAGGCGAATGCAGCTCAGTGTCATTTGACTCCTAAATGGATTAGCGCTTTAATGAGTTTATTTGTTCAGGGCAAAGATGCCCATCTGCCTCAGATCATCTCCATGACAGTGATGTTACAGTGAAGAGCAACAGCAGCCATTGGCAAAACTGAGTATCAAAGAAGACGAATGCTATTGTGCTTTAAAGGGATAGTTTACCCCCTTGAAGATTCTTCTGCTGAACAAAAAAAGAAGATATTTTGTAGAATGTCAGTAATCAAACAGTTGATAGACCCCATTGACTTCCATAGTGTTATTTTGTTCCTACTATGGAAGTCAATGGGTGCAGTCAACTGTTTGATAACCATATTATCTGTTTGATAAACTACCTTTTTTTCAGTCAAAGATGCTCTTCTATCAGCTTAAATCAGTCGGCCCATTCTCCTCTGACCTCTAGCATCAACAAGGCATTTTCGCCCACAGGACTGCCCCGTACTGGATGTTTTTCCCTTTTCACACCATTCTTTGTAAACCCTAGAAATTGTTGTGCATGAAAATCCCAGTAACTGAGCAGATTGTGAAAAACTCAGACCGGCCCGTCTGGCACTAACAACCATGCCACGCTCAAAATTGCTTAAATCACCTTTCTTTCCCATTCTGATACTCAGTTTGGAGTTCAGGAGATTGTCTTGACCAGGACCACACCCCTAAATGCATTGAAGCAGCTGCCATGAGATTGGTTGAACAGGTGAGTGTATATGCAGAGCCTAAAATTAACACTCGCCAGCACCAAATACGACTAAAAATCAACATTGGATTGAGCTCTCTTTCACATCTTCTTGCACTTGAAAAGACATATTCAAAGAAAATGATGTCAAAATGCCCATCTTGGCGAGTATCCTTGTAAACATAATCATTTATGTTTTAAAGCGTAATCAGTTGACAAATAAAACACATGTGTATTGGATCTGTGCATTAGCTCTTAAAGTGACAGCAGCCTAATAGAGTGGCGAAGTTACGACGTCACTCTGTAGGCTAAAACGCGGAAGTGAGTTAGCATTTTAGCATTACGGTTCCCTCGTTCTAAAGCCTATGGGATTTTTGAATGGGTTTTTGCTAAATCGCCTGAAATAAGGTCTGTGGTGAACAAAGCCTCTAAATATTTTCACGTTTTGATCTATGACATAGAACACACATTTATAACCTGCTTGTGGTTTTTTAAACTTTATTGTGTCTGATTGTGTTTTTTAAAATCTTTATATAGGCTTCAAAATGTATAAATTTTGGATTACCTTGTAAAGATTATCTTGCTAGACAAAACGTGTAAGGGTTATAACCCTTTGTTAAACACAGATCTTATTTTTTGCGATTTTCCAAAAGTCTATGGGGAAAATGTATTGCTTTTCGACCGAGGGAACCCATGCGCCGCTAGCTTCCGGGTTGTCCTACAAAGTGACATCATCACTTCGGCACTCTATAATCCTTGTGCTGTTTTTGCTTTTAATCAGAACAAATGTTGTGTGTTAATCAAACAACAAAACACACACACAAAAAAAAAAAAAAAACACTCTGCTCTTGACTGAATAACTTTTGTAACTTTATATTTAATGGCTGGTAAAAAAAATAGTCAGATGTGGCAAAAAGGCCCAATAGTATAATATTATATTTATTAATCTAGCGATTGTTAATACAAAAATGAACTAATATGTAAAACAAATTTTGATTACATTAGGATTAGTATAGAGCTATTAATAATCAACGTCTGCATTGCAAATGATCGACTACGCTTTCACAAAGGATTCAAAATAAATCATGAATAACATTAGCAATTATTACAATATCTTATAAAATACAAGTGATTGGGTGTTTTGTGTGGTATAATTCTATTTGCATGTTGATTGTTTTGTTACAAATAATTTCAATAAACCAAAAACCAATTAGCGGCTTGAAAAACACTCCAGTCAATCACACTGAAAACTAAAAGCTTGATTATTTCCACCTATCGTTTTAATATGCCACCCAGGTGTCTGCGCAAACCAGCACCTGTCAAAGTTTGAAACACGCAGGACAAACAAGCCCTCGGCATGACAATCATCTGTCATTACCTATAAAACCCATCAGATTCGTTAAATCGCTCTTGCCACGGAAGCCAAGTGAAGCTGTTATCTGTTGTGATGATAAACCCATTTCCACCCAGTCCAGCAATGCTAAAGAAGTTTCATCAACTTGACAAGAAACCATGTCGCAAGGGAAAACCGAAAAGATTCTATTCCACATTCCAGAGGGGATTGTTTCTTCTTTCCTTCCCGTCTTTTAATTACACCTTCTCCCTTTGCCTTCTTAGGGCACAGAATCCTCAGTTTAAATCTCCCAGCCTTCTCCTCTCAAATGAAAATGTGCTGTTTTAAATCAGGGGTTATCTCCGACGCCAGCGCTCTTCTGATGAGACAACTACAGACAGAGTTTAGTCCCTTGGCTCTGTTTTATTTTCGGTACAGCGCTCTTAGTTCAGTAATTGAGATATTATCAGTTTAAGGGAAGCCCCACATCCTGAATCACTATATCGCTCAATACAACACAGATACATTGTTTTATGTTGACCTACAGGCTAGCATCTACATCCAGAGGCCTTTAACTTAATGCAGGGGCAAATTGGTGCTTCAGAATGGAAAGAGAGATTGATTTAAACGTAATGTATGCACACTTCAGCACTTACCTTGGTTGCATGTTTTTCCTGTATAACCTGGATGGCACTTGCATTTGTTGGGACCCACGCATTCTCCATGTTTGCATCCGTGCTGACATACCGCTGTAGGCACAAAGATCATCAGTATCATTTTACTCCATAGTCAGAGTCTATGTAGTATAGATATGGAAACACGTAACATAAAAACAGCTTTCAGTTTCAGTAAAACAACCGTTCTCACTGAGGGAAATAAGTGTCCGTGCGATTAGACCTTGAGGATATTGTGGTGAGAAATCCACAAAAACATTATTTTGGAACGCTGGCCCCCTACATCAATAATTCATTGTTTGCCTTGGTCATTTTAATGAACCGAGTGTACGGTCCACCTCACTTCTCCTTTATGACTCATTACATCTCACATTTGGATTGGGAAGCAGCCCGGAGCTGTGCAACATCAGAAACATTTTAGATCCGAGACAAAAGGAAAACTCCAATATATTTTAAGGTAAAATTATACTCAAGTACTGAGTCATATTAACTACATGTACTTACTATAGAGGTACGGTTAGGGTTTGGTTTAGGGTTAGATACTTGTAAGTATGCATAATTTACTGTTATTACAATAGTAAGTACATGTAGTAACGTGTAACCATGTAACCTTAAACTCAAGTTACTGAAAACTCAAGTTACTGCTTCTGACATCTTCAAAATAGAGACAAAAACATGCAAATTTAAAGAAAAAAACAGAAAAAAGGCACCCAAATTACCCTAGTTACTTGATCACTTGCATGTGCAGGGCCAAGCCAGAATACTAAATGGTCTTTTAATGGTCTCAACCATTTTAATCAGAAATCACTGGTCAGGAAATTAGCAAGAATTGCACAAATACTGTAGATGAAGTGATAGAATGATCTTTCTTGCTGACAGATTTCTACAGGAAGAAGAGTCAGTGTTGTTCCACTCGATGTTAAAGGCTTCAAACAGTTCATGAGTTGAAAAATGTCTCCCAGTTTGTTTGAGTTTAATGCGAGATCAAGTATTAACTATATTGCCAATAATGAGCCTGATGGACTTGTTCTCAAACCACTTCTCCTCATTGTCTTGTTAAAAAAACAACATCTGATCATTCCTCTTTGTGGAAAAGAAAGCCATTCTGTGTTATTCTCCTGTACTCTAAAGCATTACAGTAAATGACTTTTCACAGTGAAGAAACTCACCATTTATTATTATATTTTTCTGCAGATTTCTGAAGACAACGCTTTGGAGCTTCACTATGCAACGTGTGTTTCATTGGGATTCAAATTTTGACCAATAAGTTGTTGGTAAGACAATTAAAAACTTAGTTTTTAGTCAGTTTTTACTTTTTTTTATAGACCTCAATATAAATATATATAATTTATTTGTATGGGATTTATTTAAATTTTGTATTTTCCGTTTTCATTTTGCTCAACGTTTTAGTAATTTTGTTGTTTTTGTCAATTTTATTTATTTAAATGACATATTTATTTCTCAAGATCTTATTTTTTAGTAAATTCGCTTTGGCAACAAGTTGAAATAAAGTTTATTTGTAAAAAAATGTCTAATATATTTCAGCTAACATTTATTTAGTTTCAAAGTCCCGACCCTGTAACATTAGGCTGGACTATAGGCCGCTTTATACCAGAGTCTGCAGTCGGCCGATACTAATTTCCATTGAAAGCTTTGTTGAGTCTCCAATTATAGAGGCCAACCAGAGCTATTCATTTTCCTCACTGGTGTGAAAGAATACGCTACAAATACTACAAGAGACATGAATGAGAAAGATGCTACTGTATATAACCCCTTGTCCCCAGATAGTGAAAGCAAGACTAGTGTGTACTACACTAGAAAAAATGCTGGGTTGTTTCAACCCAAATTCGTGTAAAATATGGACAAACCCGAATGTTGGGTTGAAAAAAATGAACAGTTGAAAGTGAAAGCTGAAGTTGGTTTAAAATGTTTAACCCAACATTCGGGTTTGTCCATATTTGACGAGAATTTGGGTTAAAGCAACCCAGCATTGTTTAGAGTATAGAGTGTAGTGATAAAAGACACACAGATATCTACTTTCAGACTGTTCAAACTGCATGAAGGCGGAAAAGCAATAGCCCACTCTGGAAAAATGGTGAGATAAGAATCAGGCCGTCTCATTCCACCTTATTAGATTGAGAAAGCTAATCAAAGGTACATGTTGACCTTGCTTTTAACCTGGGTTAATCAATATAGAGGGTAGACAGTAAGATCAAACCGCACATTTAAAACACGTTGGGCCTAATTTGGTGGTAAACCCCAAGCTGGCCGAAGACAAACAAGGAAACCGTTAGAGTTCTCTGACATTGAGAGTATATCCGGGCGGCTGCCTTATCTCGCGAGCCAGACTGTTATCAAATGTGATGAAATCATGGATTAATCCTGGTGGGACGCTGTGTGATCACAGGCAGTGGTTATATTTTTAAGTGCTGACGAATGAAGAGCTTAAGGACAGGGCTTTAAAGGGAAACCTATCTGCCGCAGTCCGGTTCAGAGAAATGCCGACACTTGGAACACAAACCACCGAATCAGGCCGGTGGTTTGTGAAGTAGGCTACCCGTTATTGACAAACCACATCAAACGGTCCCGCTGGCTTCAAAACGCCTAGCTCCTCTCTCACCACATGCGCTCCTCTACCCCTGGAGACTTTCATTCTCGGCATAGCATACCTATCAATCCATGCGCTCTGATGACGCATGACCGGATGGCAGCTTCAAAGCAATATGTCAGGAAGTGTTACTGGTGAATTTCATGAAAATAAGATTCGTAATAAGGCTCACTGAGTATTTAAAAAGCTAATAATGATTTTTTTTCCAAGCAGGAAACATCAATAAAGCTTTGCAGAAGCACATCCGCACCATGTCCTAGTGGTTTGTGCCACTAGGTCGATTTTTGTTGTTCATGGACAGACATAAAATTGTATTTAAAAAATATATTAAACATTAGCTTTAATATTTATAATCTTTTTACTTGTATATATATATTTCACACTAAGTAACTACACTACAATATCCCATATAAAAATAAATAAATATATATATATATATATATATACACACACACAAACACAGTTTTTAGTGAGTAATGGAAATTATTCAACCCCCATTGCAAATCAGGTATATTGGCAACATTTACAGACTTTTGGCTGCTTTGCAATGAACAAATCAAACAAAAGGCTATTTGGGCTATTCCACCGAATGGGTGACATTTGCTTGTTGTAACTCTTCAAAAATAAACTTTATTTTTTATCTTTTTCAACATTGAATCTAATACTACACATATTTAACTACTCAAAATGTGTACTTGTCAATCTCAACTTTATTTTTAAGGTTTAAGCAGAATATGGACGCATGTTTTCTCAATCCTGTTACTGAAAATCATGTGTAATTTAAAAAGCAAGTTTGGAAGCATGTCAATTAATTCCTTTGTTTTCCCCACAAGAAAATGTTTATTTTAAAGAAATTGTTGGTTATATGTTCAAAAAAGTTGATATTTGGGCCAATAAAACCACTATTAAAGCAAGGTGTATTTTGATTAAAAAAAAAAAAACACAAAGCCATTTTTTCATTTTAAAAACGACCAAAGCCTCAAGTTTATAATTTTTTTTTTAATTAATTCATTAAATAATTGTACAAATGGGCCTAACAAAACTGATTAAAAAAAAATAAATGGTTTAATTTGATTTTTTTTAGAAAAAAAAAAAAAAAAATAGTAACCGGACTGAAAGTAACAGGATTGAGTTTTTAAGCAAAAAGTTATCAAATAAATGGCATATGGCCACATAGCATTGATGCTAATAGCGTGAGGACACTGAGCCATTATTTATCTAAAATATTAGATCAAATGTTTTTTCTTTTTTCACTTTAAAGCAGTTTGGATATAAAGTCACACAATAATGCAAGAAAAATCATAATCATAATATTTCACGGTAGTTTAGAGATAGAGAGTTGGGACATGCAGAAAATACTATTATTTTACTATTATAAACTACTATAATTTTTTAGTGTTCTGTGTCGTTTTTATTAATGTTTTTAATCAATTTAATCATTAATGTTTTTAATCAGGTTTTAAATTTGTAGGTTTTAAATTTGTAGTTAGCTTAATGTGATTGACATTTTGCTTAATAATAAAATATATTTTAGAGTTAATTTTCATGCAATTTTAAACATATAATGTCCTGGGGACAGAAATGTCACCCTTTCGGTGGAATGGCTCATTTACACTGCAGATGTTTTCCAGATCTCTAGCAGACATATTACAGACGTACATGTGCTATCTGAAAAAAAATGATATTAAATGTTAACTTTAACATTTAGATTTTTTTCTTCTTTTATATTTCAGTTTTAATTATACACACTAAAAAATTGATACCACTACAATGTCACATCATAAATGTCTCTACAGGACAACTAGATAGCTAATCAAGTAGTTAAAGTGTTTGTTGTTGTTTTTGCTTTGGACGTGTTATCCATAGAAGCCAATAAAACAAAGATACGCATGAGATTTATCTGTACTGCTCAAATGGGAGATGCCAGTTTAAATCTGGTTTCCATCTTCCATCATTCTGTGTTAAAAGGCCAAAATGTGAGATCCTTTGAGGCTGACGTGGGGGAACAAACAAAATATGAATATAAACAGTGATATCCAAATATCCTGGAGGGTCCAGATATTCAAATGGAAGCAGGAGCAGGTGTGAAGTGTTCGCAGGATATCAGGATATTCTCAAAGGAGGAGTGCACGCGGGGGACTATAAATAAACGGGAACTCGGTATTCAGCGGATGCGTGTTCTGAATGACGCTCAGGCAAGATGATTGCAAAGGAAATATGATGTGGTGCTAACCTTGGGGTTGGCACCTTATCCCGATTACTCTGCGGGTTAAGACGTAGAGGGCTGCAAAACAAACAGCCAGACAGAAAAAAAAGAAAAAAAGAAGGAAGCTTCGTCTAAATGTGAGATGAAAACATTACATGGGAGCCATGCTGATGATGGACAAGCATTTATAAACGCAACACATACAATACACACACAGATTAAAGATTAAAGTCTCTCACATTTCATGTGGTGATAAGAACTTTTTAAGTGACATTTACGGTTCAAGATACATTTAGAATAAATTCACAGGAATAAATTACATTTTTTCCATGATATTACTGTGAATGGACATATTGTTACGAAGTACAAAAATATCAACGCTTAAACTGTTTCCAAAGTATAAAAAAGACGACGGTCCACAAAAACAGAGTTTCACTCCTCTAGTTCCTATGTTCTCTTGCCCAGGCAGAGGGCAGCCTCAATAACAAAGGTTTCTTTGCAGTTCCTCAGTCACACAGCTTCACACACACTCCCCTGTGAACTACTGATGCTCAAACATTTTGAGAAACATTTTGCTGAGCTGGTATTTTAAGAGCAGCTTAGGAACAGGATAGTTGGGTGTTGCAGATGTTCAACTATTAAATCCCCCTTGTCCTGCCTGACCTCAATGGTCCTCATGTGGGCCAATTACTTCAAATTAAATGATGCTTTAAACTACAGAAGTGACGACTCTCAAAGCTAACATTACCCTTCAAAAGATACCAATACACTTTGCGTTTGAACTGTAATGAAGATATATTAAAGGGGTGGTTTACTGCTTTTTTTGTCTTTGCATGATTGTGTTTATGGGTTGCAATATAACATGTATTTGTGTTTTTTCTTTTATAAAAAGTCTTTTTTTTCATAAATTTCACCTTTATTGTAAGCTGCTATCTCTTCTGTCATTTGAACGACCGGTTTACTTCCTGATTCTATGAAACCACTCCCTCAGAAACAGGCAGTGGGCTCAGATTGGTTAGTTTGGGCCGGTGCGTTGTGATTGGCTAAACTGAGTAGTGCACATTGTCCGGATACTTCACGCCCATTACCTTAACGGGCGAAGTTGCATGTGTTGTCAACGCATTCTCATCCTTTAGCGTCATATGACGCTATATGACAAAACGACGAAATACTACGCACATGGCACCCGTTATCGTTAATATAACACGCGCTGTGATGGGTAGGTTTAGGTGTGGGGTAGGGTAGTCTCATATTAACGCTTAGGATTTATGACGCCTTGGGTTCGCATGTTATATTAACACTAGAACGGCCACAACGGTCATTTTGACCGTTTTGAATTTTATATCTACAATAACTTTGTTGAAAAAAATAATAAAATCCTGCTGGTACCTGACTTTTCCTAAAATTGTCTGTATTTTCATTTAAAATGCTTTTCATATAAATTAAGTTACGTAAACGTAAGGCAAAACAAAAAAAAATGAACATATTTACCTATTTCGGCCATAGACGGTCATATTGACCGCACTGAATTTTGCGGTATTTTTTGGTTAAATATCCCGCGGTTGATCGTGTTCTCTCTCAACTGTCAACAGAAAGGTCTGTCCGGTCACCTCTGTAGCAGTGTTTGCTATAATATTTATAGTTTGCTAATGTATTTCTACATTAGTTGTTGATCAGAAATAAACAAATAAAACCAGACTACAGTTATCTATAATACTTACGTTATCTATAGGCTATATAGCCTATATATATATATTGCAAGGCTAAAATGTCTAAAATGAATGAGCGAATGAGGAGGAACATGACTCGAACCATGGCCGTGGAGATGCTTCAGAACTTGACGAGTGATTCGGATGCAGGGGAACAATCGGAGGTGGAAAGTGATAGCGACGTTCCCTGGGTGCAAGTTAACATTTTCTCCTCATCAGAGAGTGATTCAGAGTCAGAGTCCACATCAAGGGAAAAGAGACGGCTGCTATCATCAGACACGGCGGATCCAGATGTTCCGTTCATGTCGGATGATCCTGGTGAGCTCTGCTGCCCTGTCCTGCGCTGTTTGTTTTGCTTCATGGGCTGTTCACTAGTTCTGCTAGTCCTATTTTTATTAGCCTATTGACCGCTTCGCAAATCGTCACTATCTAACATTTTCGTCATAGTTTTTGTCATTCAAACCTAGTTTTATTTAGTTATCGTCTCGTTTTCGTCTTTGAAAAAATGTGGTTTACGAAAATAATTACGAAAATTATTCGTCAACACTGTTTTGAATCTAACGGTCAAAATGACCGTTTGTGGCTGTTCTAGTAGTTTTGGAATTCTGGCACTTCTAGTGTTAACGATAAAGGGCGCCATGTGCGTAGTATTTCGCCGTTTTGTCATATAGCGTCACATCTGACGCTAAAGGATGAGAACGGGCTCGTGTTGTTCCTGTCAAATGTACATAATGGTGTCGATACTGCAGTATGAGCCAGAATCAGACCCAGAAAGCGGCGACGAAGAGAGACAAGCAGAACCTCACCACACACGGATCTTACAAAACGTTTCTGAATGGTAATTTGCCTATATTTTTTTTAACTTGATACACGTTTGTCTTACACAAAATAGCATCGAACTAACTTGCTACTTTATACACAAACAGCGTTGGCATTTTGGTCAAATCGAAAAATAACGTCATAAAGTGTATATATATATATATATATATATACATGATAAATACATTTACAAACATAGTACATATACAAATTCAGGTCCAAAATGTTTGTACGCGTTTTTCGTAGACACGAAATAGCATAACTAAGTGGCTAAGTGACGTTACGTCTGAAATACATGTAAAATGATTAAGTCTTACTTACAGGTTGTGGCCCAACAACTGCTGCCTCTGGTTTGAAAGTTGGAACTGCTTCATGTTTTAGTAACAGTTTCTTGTTGAATCCGGCATTGAATTCGTGGAGGTTCTGGAAGCTGTTTTACGATTGAGCTAAATTACGATTGTAATTTTTAGGAACATAATCAAACATAAATTGTATCCATTGTTGACGAACTACAACGTCCGTGGGAAGCCCAAACACAGAAGACCTGACAGCTTGGTGAACATAACACACTTTCGACGAGCCGCAGAAATATGGCCATGCCCTTTTTTGCATATTCCGGAGGGAGGGTTGATGGAAATGTGTGGGTTAGTGACGTCAAAAACCCGTTGTAGTCCCAATTGAGTTGTTTTTGTTGGCATTAAACTTCCTGATTTTTAAAAGACGATATCTCTGCTTACATTGAACGTTCAGCGCTGCAACCTTGCAGATACCGTTCATGTACCAACAGCAACAAAACAGTGAAATTTCAACAGTGAAATCACAATCAACCACCCCTTTAATGTTGACTGCCTGTCCTCAAGCACTTGCAGTACACATGCTTTACTGTAACTATGATTTTGCACTTTTCATAACCTGAGGGATGAGGCGAAATGATCTTCGTTGGTAATCCACACAATCCCATGAAAGCTGTTGATAGAGCTTAACTTGTATTGAACCTGGAACGTTCCTTTAAAATTCAGCTTTTAGAGGGAGAACGAGAGAGATTACAGTCCGAGATGTGTCCTGAAGCTTGAGATAGATATTTCTCGTGAAGGAACCTCATCAAAATTCATCCTCAGCTGGAGATCTTGTTAACTCTAGATGATTAGGTTGTTGTGATTGGGGAATCTAATTTCGTCTGTGAGGTATATCCCTAATCACGAATTCAGCCCACGAAACCGAGGGCTGCCCCCTAAACCAGCTGTTTTGAGAAAGTCAAATATTGCAGCTTCATGTTCCCGTTATTGAGGTGTGAATGGAGCCAGATATGACTGCGGCGACTAACAAAACCTTTGACTGGATGGATATTTGAAAAGCATTTCTGAGCTGGGCACTTCACTTTCCCTGAGGACTCGGTGTTCAGGGATGCATTTATTACAGCAATGTGCATCTTCACCCAGTATGATCACCGACCGGCCAAAACAAAACGCAGCAATCTCATCAAACACATGAGATGCAGGGATACCGTAATCAGTCACGATGGAGCCCTCAACACACGCTTTCTATTCTCTGACAAAATTTCGAGTTCAACCGCTGGCTGACTTGCCGTCCGTGATTGAGAACAGAATCGGTTTGTTTACCGCCCATCGTGCATATTTATTTACTTCAAATCACCGTTTTCAGCACGTATAATACAGTCTTTGTTGAGCAAAATGCGCAATTTGCAAAGGCGTACCTCGCCCACTTGAAGTGTGAGAGACATTTGCACACACAGTCACATTGCTCTGTTACAAAATACGGTATAAAGACGAAGCGGTGACGATCTACTAGAAGCACAAGCATTAGTTTTTGGAGCCCCTCAGCATGTGACCCTGGTGAACTATAATTCTTTGGCAAAGGCAACAGCTGGGCTATCATGTGCACAAGCCATGCAGAGAATCTTGCATTTGTCAGGCTGCCCGATACATTGTGCCAGCATAATACTGTCATGCATCACAAAGTAGCCCATGAATCAGCGCTATAGGCTTGTTCCATTTTTTGATACGGTCAAACATTTGTTCAGAAGCATGGCATATCTTTTTTAGATTTGTAGCGAACATATGGCAGCTGATAAATGAAGCATAAGACGCTATTAATATGAGCAGCGGGAGCACATCCTCAGATTCCATGATAACGCAATAAAATGAGCTTATCCGTACTTGAAGATCATTACGTGATTAATGTGGTGTAAGATTTGAGAGGCATCATCACTTCTAGTGCGAGATGAATGCATTTATATGGATCCCACATTACAGATCTGCATAATCCATGCTTGATCCAACAAAAGGTATTGTGGGTAATACAATGGCTGGAAGTGATCAAATTAGACTTGATTTATCATATATACGTACATTATACTGTGTATATATATTTAGAGCAGCAATTTATTTAATGTTCTTTACTTTTCCCTATTATTGTACAGCACGTATTATTGTTGTGCTTTCTCAATGAATGATTGGACTTTTTAGACCTCAAACTAATCCTGCAGGAATGTGGTGCTGTTGCAGCAGCAAACTACTCGTTGTACCTTTTAATTATTCCAAATGACTGAACCACATAATATTGGGTGTCATGCAGAATATCTCAAAGACAAAGCAGACATCCGGAAGGCTTATCGTTGCGAATAGACCAGTTAGTAAGCATGAAATCCAGAAGCATTATTTCCCAAGACATGGTCTTGCTTATTTTCAGCCATCATATTCTACCACTACTGTGAAGTCACCAGTTCATTATACAGTATTTGGAGGAATCAAATGGATCCTGCAATCAAATCAAATCAGCATCTAAAACTTAAAATTCCATTAAGAGTAAAAGACTTAAAAGAGTATTGACAATAGAAATTCAGTTTTCGCTAAGCTATTCAAATGAATTTGAAATATGGTAGCAACTCCAATGAACTGGTGACTTGCTGTCAGGTGTTGTTAAGTGTCAGAAGAAGGTTAAAGTAGCATCAGTCTAGAAGCCATTAAGCGCCCCCCAACCCCCCACAGCACTGTTCACCCTATAGCAGCAGTTACTCACGCTGGCACTGGCCCCAGGAGACTCGCGTCCAGCCCCAGCAGCAGTCCACCCGAGCGCCGTATCGACACAGCCCATTGGACGAGGACATCTGTCTGGGCCACCTATCAGGAGACAGTTTGATCAGATCTTGGCCAATCACTGCACAGAAGACAGTTAAGCGAGTGACAAATAACATCAAATAACATAGTACATAGCTTTAGTATCCATCCATCCATCCATCCATCCATCCATCCATCCATCCATCCATCCATCCATCCATCCATCCATCCATCCATCCATCCATCCATCCATCCATCCATCCATCCATCCATCCATCCATCCATCCATCCATCCATCCATCCATCCATCCATCCATCCATCCATCCATCTATCTATCTATCCATCTATCTATCTATCTATCTATCTATCTATCTATCTATCTATCTATCTATCTATCTATCTATCTATCTATCTATCTATCTATCTATCTATCTATCCACTCTATCTATCTATCTATCTATCTATCTATCTATCTATCTATCTATCTATCTATCTATCTATCTATCTATCTATCTATCTATCTATCTATCTATCTATCTATCCACTCTATCTACCCATCCATCTATCCATCCATCTATCTATCCATCCATCCATCCACTCTATCTACCCATCTATCTATCTATCTATCTATCTATCTATCTATCTATCTATCTATCTATCTATCTATCTATCTATCTATCTATCTATCTATCTATCTATCTATCTATCTATCTATCTATCCACTCTATCTACCCATCCATCTATCCATCCATCTATCTATCCATCCATCCATCCACTCTATCTACCCATCTATCTACCCATCTATCTACCCATCTATCTATCTATCTATCTATCTATCTATCTATCTATCTATCTATCTATCTATCTATCTATCTATCTATCTATCTATCTATCTATCTATCTATCTATCTATCTATCTATCCATCCATCCATCCATCCATCCATCCATCCATCCATCCATCCATCCATCCATCCATCCATCCATCCATCCATCCATCCATCCATCCATCCATCCATCCATCCATCGGTAGGCCTGTCTAAGTCAATCTAAGCCCATGAATCTGTAGATTCATGATTCTAACACATTTGCAATTCATGAGGTAACATCTATTGTTCCAGTTTTTACTGTTAACTTATCCATTGCATCAGTCAGCCAGTGACGTGTTATCTATATTCACAAAGCTTTCGTTGTACTCAGTGACACAGGTGCTGCAGATAAGAGAACTGTGAGTTATCACTCTTCCACCAGAGGCAGATCTTCTCATTTGGTGATGCTGGATGCACACACAGCGCAGAGATCAGATGAAGTCTGTCTGTACTTATGCTAGAGGGAAGTTATGAAAAAATAAGGGTGTTCTTAGAAAAATATATGTTACATGACCCAACAATGTGAGTGAACAAGACAGATTTTTGGAAAACATCATTGTTGGAAACAACAGGGAAGGCCGTTTCAAACCGATTTTCCATAAAATGGAAAATAAAGGTACAGCTGAAGTGCTTTTGAATCAGAGAGTTTCTTGGCAGTGCACACCAGGATTACAAATCTCCTTTTTTTCCACCAGCAGAGCTCCAAATGTTTTTGTGAAGAAGCAAAACCATTTAAGGTCTATGAAAATAAGCAAAAGGGAATGAACGCAGGTCAAATGACGTCATGTAAATGGATCATCGTGGGTAATAGATACAGGGAAAGCACAGAGCACAATCTAAAATTAAACTTCTACTCAAAATGGCTGGCTGTATTTAAACAGTGAACAGAAAACAAGAAAGAAAATAAACGGCGCTAATCATAAATCAAATATTAACATTCTCTATATTTGTTAAATTACTTTAATTAAAAAAAACAGATAAGATGATTTGTTTTTATTTAACCCTTACATACATACATACACATATACACAGTGATACTCTTTTTTCAAGGATTATTTGATACATTATAAATGTCTTTATTGTATTTCACCTTGAATAAAAAAACACGGACATATCTCAAAAAGTTGCACGTGTTGTATTATGTATTATGCATACTGTAAGTGCAGGAAACTATTGTGAATTTCAGCCGCACGGTCACTGTCCTCTTCAGTTAGTCTGGATCGTAAGGCAGTGAAAATGCTAATGTGGCCACTACGGCTGCCAGTCACTCCAGTAAGAAAGTGTGATGGTGGCACTAAATGAGAGTGACAGGCTGAAGGGGAAATGTTTGCGTGTGCAGCTCGGAGAGGGGAAGGAGACGGCTCTAAAGACACAGGGCGCATGCTAAGAGGATTGAGTCCGGGCTCCTGCCTGTCACTCTGCTATATCTTACCTGAAACACACATTTAATCACAAACACACACACAGAAACTGGCCGGACTCACCGTGTTCCAACACAATCATCTCTGTATGCATTAAAACATCACTTCTAACTCACTACAAAGATGCTGGGTGCAGAATACATCACATTTTGCAATGGCGCCCAGGGTTGAACATATTTTTCAATTATATTTTGTCTTCATTTTTAAAAAGTAAGAATGTAGACTGCACACATAAACATAATGAGACCATATCGTCATATTCAGTCATGCTATACTTCTTTATTATTACTATTTATTTAACTAACACAGTAACATGGTTTATTTTCATTTAGCTGACCATGACCCTATCAGAACAGAAATGAGTTAAGAACAACAATGTCTGTCATAAAAAATGAAAGTGGAGGATCATAATTCATACTAACATTCACTAAGCATCCTTATGGTTGCTCTCCAGATAGGCGGAACACCAAATATGTTCCAGTTGGCTCTGATTTTGTCTTTTCACAAAATATTTGACTTTCAGGGAGGACAGAAAAAAATGCTGTGAAAGCTTTTTAGAAAATGGAAAGCTTTTTAGAACATCATATTATAACAATAAAATGCTTTGGTTTTGTTTTTAGGCTCTAGAAAAGGTTTTCATGCTTGAACAAATAAAAAAAAACACTATTTTTCACATATTTTACATTGTTGCTGCACCTCTCTTCCCAGTCTGTCAGTAAAACTGTTAAGTTACGGTCTATATGAAGCCCCTCCTTCTGACTGTACGCGTTCACACCGGACGGCGAATTAACGCGGCACGAATTGACACCAAATTTTAGATTTTTCAACTCGGGCGGCAGACGCGAATTTGCGTCAAACGCGTGAATGCACAAATAGCACTAACTAAATCATTCGCGCTTAACGCACCAGACACTCAATTCGCGGCATTCGTGCAAACTTGCCGCGCGAATTAGGCGTATTCACGTCTACCGCGTCGCAGGAATTTTTTAAGTGTGTTACGCGCCTTTGCTTTGATTTAAAATCGAAATCATTCACGCCTGATGCACTATTCGCATCCGGTGTGAACGCACCATGAAAGAGCTCTGATTGGCCGGCTGGACCAGTGTGTTGTGATTGGTCAAGCGCTTTAAGTGGAAATGTCCAGCCCGTTCTCATCCTTTAGCGTCACATAGAACGCTATATGACAAAATTGCGCTATACTACGCACATCGCACCCTTTATCGTTAATATTCACGCAAACCCAAGGCGTCATAAATCCTTTAGCTTAATATGAGACTACCCTACCCTACCCCACACCTAAACCTAACCATCACAGCGCGTGTTATATTAACGATAACGGGTGCCATGTGCGTAGTACAGCGTCGTTTTGTCATATAGCGTTCTATATGACGCTAAAGGATGAGAATGCGTTGAAATGTCACGCCCTTTACTGTACCATATAAAAATGAGTTTCAACACACCATTAACTGAATTAACCTTGCTCATTTTTTTTGCGTTTTCCATTTAAATGAGGGATATTTGTCTTGTTCGTAAAGAAAAAACAAGACTACAACTGAGGCGTTTCAGGGAATTCAGAAACAGTGCGCACTGATATAGAGAATAGAGAGTGACTTTGTCAAGTGATGTCAAAAAGCAAATAAGCCCTCTTTAACATAAAAGAAAGCAAGAAAGAACCAAATAGAGGGAGGGGGAGGAGGGCAATGAGAGAAAGACAAATCTCCTCATGTGTAGCGCTTGCCCCACCAGACACAAGTGAATACGTGCCAGTCAGCAATCTGCAAAATCTGGGCCCGATCCAAAGAGACACCAAACTGAGAGAGAGAAAGAGAGAGAGCGTCGCCCAGCGAGAAACCGGCGCCACATTCACTGAGGTAACAAGTCTGTCACAACAAATCTCACATCCACCTGAGTAAGTGTCTTTCCTCACCATGTTAAAGATGCAGCCATTACACAGTTTCAATTTCCAGCTCAATCTGGCATTAGCGGATTACACATACGACAAATATCTACATAATGCAATTCTGTCCCGGCTGCTCAAAGGAGGCAACCGGGTCACAAAAATTAGACGTAGATGCCTTTATCTCTATGCCCTGGTACATTTGAGTCATGAAAAATTCATGCAATTCACGTTTCTATTTGTCTGGAGCGGTCTGACACAATTCATGCGACTCCGTAGTGAGTCTGCACATGTATATGAATGATGACATGTAGCGGGACTTGAGTGCAAGTGCAGGGGGGTTTAATTACAGCCCTTCACATTCCTCCACCACCTCCACAGACTGCCAGACAATTAGACACGAGCCTTTGAAACATGCGCTCGAGAGACTTGAGCTGTCTTCATTCCCCAGCCTCCATATAGAATATGTGCCTCTGGAGAATGACACACCGGTCAAGGAAAGTCCATCTCAATCAGAGCTAAGCAGCAATCACACGCAGTAGGTACAACTCTGAAATAAACGCGCCATGTGGTGGAAGGGACAGATTTAGGAATCTCCCACAGTTTCTGAGATGTTTATCAGTGTTTGAAGAGTTTTTCCAATGGTCAGCGCAGTTATAAAGCTGATGGGGTTGGAAATTTAGAAGTAGATTCAGAAAAAAAATACTGAAAATCCTAAAAAAAAAAAAAAAAAAGAGCATTTTAGCATTGCAAGTGAAGTCACATTAGACTTTGTTCCATTCATATGCATGCGATTGTGGGCGGGAGGAAATGCAGGCCAAAGTTTCAACTCTGGCCTGTGAATTTGCATTGAAAGAAGATGGTTGACCAATTAAGA